GTGAGTAAGATTTTTTTTCTTCTTCGTCCTTCTTTTTCTTTTTTCCTTTCTTATTTTTCTTCGGTCCCCTTTTCAAATCCTATCGTTTTTTTTCCCCCTTCTTCTTTATATTTCTGATTCGATAAGAGTCCGTCGTTCCTAGCGAAAAACTACGACGGCGGATATTGCATAGGCTGGATAAAGATAGCCAGAGAATAGGAAAAGAGCGAGTGAGATAAATTTCTTTATCCCCTACGGCAACTCGACGATGGACCGAACGCGAACAAACTTTTCCGATAATGAAGTAACTTTTGTTACGTGGCGAAGTGTTACTTGTACCTTGATGCGACAGATATAACGTAGCTTCTCGACTCGAAGCTAAGAAGAGAGAAAGATAAAGAGAGTAGAGGAGAGAAAACGGGGGAGGGAGAGAGAGAGAGAGAGAGGAAAGGAGAAGGACGAAGACAGATTCATTGGTATCGATCGTAATTAAGGCTCCACGTTGATGCTAACGATCGCTGTTTTCGATCGTTGACGGTGCCAGTGTGATGAGGAGGGCGGCAATTCTTTTCACCTCAACGTCGATAGGGAAAATAACGTTTCCTCGTGAAATATCGGTTGCCTGAAGTGTATCGAGGAGGATGGGAATGAGAAAAGGTCGTTCGAATACGGGAGAAAGAGAAAAGGCAAAGTCCGCTTTTTGAGAGGCATAACGCGACTGTCATTTTGATCCGAGCGTATATTTCATAGATATGCGTGTGTGAAAAAGAGACATAGAGAGGGAGAGAGAGAGAGAGAGAGAGATGGTGAGGAAGGGAGGGGGAGGGTGAGAGAAAGGGAAAATAGAGAACCGTCGATGCTTTTACGCTGAAAATCGTAGCTTCTGCTTTAATCTTCCTGACGGCGACGGTGATTATTACGGGACGCGGAGAAATAGTACGTCGAAATAACGGAGAGAAAGCATTTTTAATCACGGCACTCTTGAGCTGGTAAATATCTGCTCATGCTATGCTCCGTGGTAAAAAGAGATAGATAGGTAGATAGATAGATAGATAGATAGATAGATAGATAGGTAGATAGATAGATAAAGAAAGAAAGAGAAAGAGAAAGAGAGTGAGAAAGAGAGAGAGGAGAGAGAGGGAGAGAGAGAAAGAAAGAAAGAAAGAAAGAAAGAAAGAAAGAAAGAAAGAAAGATTGAGAGTACAGGGTGAAAGTTAAAGAGAAAAAGAAAAAACTGGCGAATATGAATGTATGCAACGTTCCGGCGAAGGGTTCGACGCGAGAATTACTTTAACCTTTTCCTTTCCAACGAGCGTGCAAGCTGCCTTCGTCGTAACTGTAAACAACGATGACGAGATAGCCTCTTACCCGCGCCCGCGCGCTCGACCGCTCGTTCGCGAAAGACCGAGAGAGAAAGAGAAAAAGAATGAGAAAGAGAGAGAGAGAGAGAGAGAGAGAGAGGGAGAGAGAGAGAGCACGCTTCTTTTATCGCGAAAGCGAACAACCTCGTGTATCGGATATAATGTAGACGGCGCATAAATTATGTGGAGAGACCTTATCGGCTTCGATTTAATTAGCTGTCCATTCCGTAAGAACTTATCGTGCGGTACGACGTTACGAAGTTTACGTGTACTCGATTTCCGTCGAAAATCTACCAAAGTGAAATGTAATTAAAATCAAATAATAATAATAATAATAATAACAATAATAGTAATTTCTAATTTCTATTTATGTATGTCGATCGACAAGTTTGATAAAAAAGAAATATATATATATATATATATATATATATATATATATATATATGTCATTTTTTTTCTTAACGAACAAATGTTTCAGATGACTATTATAGTATCGTGATAAAAAAATTCATCACGATTTATTTACAAAGACGATTACGCAAGCTTGTTTTCCAAGGGAAAGACGTAAGTGTAACGTGAAATCTCATTACCGCAAGCCTGACCACGTAGCTCAAAACCTGAATTTAATCAGAGCGTTCGCAAGCATTAACTCGCACTTGTTCGTAATATCTGTAGCTCTCTCTTTCTCTCTCTCTCTCTCTCTCTCTTTATACTATTTCTAGACGTTGGTAAAAGTGCAACTGACATTAACGAGGATATTATATCTATTGATTACAGCTGAATACCTAATAAAAATGATGAATCGCTTGAATAATAAAAAAATTCTAAAGAGAGAACTAAATTATTTCTCTTATTAATACACGATGAGAGTCTATAGACAATGTAAATTTATTAACGTGTTTAATGAAGGAATAAGGTTTAAAAAAAAAAAAATATATATATATATATATATATATATATATATTTGTATACGTGTCTCTTTAGACATCAGTTATTATCAAACTGTCCATGTACATTTTTATTTAATTAAAACATAACAAACGTTACGACATTTCGATTCATGTCATGTAATTTTCCTCAGGAGAAAAAAGAACGGGATTTTAATTAAATTTCATTTTGAATGGGTCTCTTAAAAAAAAATCAGGCCGTGTTTACGACCTTTCGAACACTTGATAATAACTATATAGATGATGTATTTCATATGGTTAAAATGTTTCCTTTTTTTTTTCTTTTTTTATTTATTAATATCATTTTAACTAGCGTTACGGCGTTAACAATATTAACGAGCCGAGCAAGTGAGAATATGTTATTAATGAATTTAATTACTACAGGGGGGCATCTGTCGGAATAATGATAATAGTTCACGTGTACCTATTAGAGAAAGAGAGAGAGAGAGAGAGAGAGAGAGAGCAAGAGAGAGAGAGCAAGAGAGAGAGAGCAAGAGAGAGAGAGAGCGAGAGAGAGAGAGAGAGCACGAAAGCGAGAGAGATTACAATCATCGAATGTATATTCGAAAGCTAAAGCGTAGCCAACGAAAATCAATAACTATATATTTCTACTCGTGCATTAATCTTCGATTGGAACGGCTCGATTTCGGCCGACTAAATCGAGTTATTAAAAGGCCGTAACTTTTTGCTGGCCATTTCGAAACGAAGATAAGCCGTGAGAAATCGCCAATCGAGCTGGTCGACGATGATATTAACGAATAATCTACTGAACGATTATCGAAATTTTACGATTATCATATAATATAACGTATGTAAGACAAAGACAAAAACGAGACTTTAAAGAAGTCAGACGTCGATCAATCGATCAATTGAAATTATCGTAATTGATATTATTGTCGTACCATTTACATTGACCGCAACATTTTCTATACTTTTTACTCTCTCCTTCTCTCTCTCTCTCTCTCTCTCTCTCTCTCTCTCTCTCAACTTATCTATTTATCTCTCTATATTTTTTTTTCTTTCTTTCTTTCTCGTACACTTTTGGATTTATACCGTGAAACGAAACTGAGTTAACGTAAACACTTGAGGTTAGAGCCCTTTCGTTCCTATGCCTCTTTTTGTTCTTCTTTCCTCTCTTCTTCTTCCTTCCTTTTTTTTATTTTCATTTCGTATTCTCTCTTTCTCTCTTTAAAACGCGCATCGGTGTCGGTAAAGGCTTTTCAGAGCTCAAATAGAAGGCTCGATGACGAAGTATGTGTGTATTCACAGATAAGCTATAAGTACATTGTACGTATGTACGTATATACATACATACACATATACATACAAACATACGTACGTACGTACAATCCTATGTATAATCCTATATGAAACGCTCGAAACGAAACTGGTGCGACTTTTGTGAATTTGAAAAGGCCATGTGAAAAGAGCCGACTACCTATCGTGTCGTCGTTACTACTATTCCCTTTTTGCCAGGTTTTGCTTGTAATGCATTTACTTCTATACTATATCTTAATATACGATATATGTTTATTAAAAGAAGGCCATATGTTCTTATGAATGTTGAGAAAGTGTAACTTTTATTGCTTGCTTCTAAGAAGAACGAAAGGAAGATAGTTAAGATGGGGATGAAAGGAATAATGAGAGAAAGAGTATGAGAGAGAGAGAGAGAGAGAGAGAGAGAAAGGGAGAGAGAAAGAAAAGAAAGAGGTATGGTGGTCGAAGTTTAATTATTGCGTTAATTATTGTTGACATTTATAATACGAGAATGGATAATCAAGAGAAGATTCCTCGTCTCGCTAAACAAGGCGAAGGCTGCCGTGTTTCCTCGGAAATATCGGTCTCTTCGTGTAATTAACGTGATCTATTCGTGGCCGGGATTTTCTCAGGGTGAAACGTTAATATTCCTTGCTTCTCTCTCTCTCTCTCTCTCTCTCTCTCTCTCTCTCTATCTTTCTCTCTCTCTTTCTCTCGCATATACATACATTTTCTTCCTCTTAATTAATATTTATCAAGAACATATAAGTATAAAGAATTTTAAGTTAAAATAGTTGTATCGAATTGACTGTTAAACTATTAACTAAATGGAATCATAATTTAAAATGTACGTGATTGTGAAGCGATGCGAAAGGAAACTAATGGTTCGTACTACTAATGAAATACAAAGGTCAAGTAACGAAGTGTGAACTTGATATCGAGCAGTTACGAAGGCATACATCGATACAAAAGTATAAAATCGCGTAAACGTCGAAATATATTTTTCTCTAGAGTTTTGTGTGTTTAAAAAAAAAAAAAAAAAGAAGAAAAAAACAAAAACAAAAAAAAAGATTGCGAGCGCTTTCGTCTATAAAAAAAAAAAAAAAAAAAAAAGAAAAAGGAAAAAGGGATAATATTTGAAACGTATAAAATAATGGGAAATAGTTCATGCGCATCTTATTTGTTATTTAACATTTAATTTATCATTAATGTTTTATCGTGATACTTCGAATCAACGTTTATTATTGAAATAAAATAATATCATATAATTGACAATATAATAAAGTAATAATAATCTTTTCTGCATTAAACCAAAGTAAATTGAAGTAAATTGACGTTATCGTACATTTCATTATTATTAGAAAATTTGATGTAAGCGTAGGATGTAATTGCGCAACCGCAAATATCGAGCCAGAGCTGACAACGACGGTGGATAGTAACATTTCAAGGGAATTCA